CTAGACGCATGTATTCAGTAATACAAAGAGCTTCAAGTTGGGATAGAAAGCAAAGTTTAGTTGACTCCCTGTGTGTATTTGAACTTATATTCTGGAGAGATAATGTTTACACTTTTAATAGCAGAAGATTTTATGAAACTTTTGCTCCTGTTTTGACCGTTTTCTCAGATGCTAGTTCCAAGGGCTGTGCTGCTTATATACAGAATTCTGACCGGGTATTTCAGTGTTTATGGGACGAGGATCAAGTGGGCAAGAGTTCAACTTGGCGGGAATTGAAGGCTGTTGAATTATCTTTGAACGTTTTCAGAGAGGTTCTGTCTAATCAGACTGTTAAGTGGTTCTCAGATAGCAAGGCTTGCTGTCAAATTGTTTCTTTTGGTAGTTTCAATTCATCCTTACAGGAGCTTGCTATGTCCGTGTTCACCGTGGTTAGGATGTATAACATCAGGATAAAGTTTAGCTGGATTCCACGTTCAGAGAACGACAGAGCAGATGCGTTAAGTAAATTTAAAGATGCTGATGACTGGATTGTTACTGATGCTGTCTTCAAGTTGCTAAACCAGAAGTGGGGTCCACATACTGTTGATAGATTTGTAGATTCAATTCCAGATCTTGGTGCCCTGGCACAGAAGCAGTAGATGCTTTTACACAGTCATGGCAATATGATAACAACTGGGTTGTCCCCCCTGTGCATTTGGTAACAAAGGCTATTAGATATGCTCTTCAAAGTGAAGCTAGCATAACTTTAGTAGTGCCTAGGTGGCAATCAGCTGTGTTCTGGACTTCACTTTTTGATGACGGAAAGTTCAAACATTATATCGCTGATAGTTTGCAATTAAATGGAAGTATTGCATTTTCAGGCGGCAGCAAGAAATCCTTGTTTGACAAATTCGATGGCTACGCATTAGCAGTTAGAATTATTCCATGAGATCAATGTTGTTGTTTCAGACATGTTCTCCTCCGGTATCTGGAAGCTGAAGAACAATTTAGTTCATACAGACCTTATTGATCTAGCAGGACATATGCCAGATTTAGTTCTCAAGTCTAAGGCCCCAGCGACAGTCTATAAGTATGAAAGATCTTATAATAGTTGGAAAAAATGGAGTTCAAAATTTAAGGAGATTACATGTTTGCCTGCTCATCCATTTCATGTTGCTTTGTATCTTACATCACTTGTTCAGGGAGGTAAGAAAGCTCCATCTGTCATGGAAGCTATTTACGGTATTAGTTGGGCGCACAAGCTTTCATGTCTGCCAGATCCTTGTAAACATGATTTGATTGTGAACATCAGAGAAGCGGCATTAAGAACGTGTAGTACTCCAGTCAAGAAAAAAGAACCTGTTACTTGTGACACGTTAAAGAAATTGGTTAGTATATCTGGGAAAACTCCCTCTCTACTTGATTTAAGGTTTTTAACAATGTCACTTTTATCTTTTGCTGGGTTTTTCAGATTTTCTGAAGTAGTGAATATCAGACGGTCAAACATTAAATTCAAGGATGGCTTCATGAGTATTTTTGTTGAGAACAGTAAAACTGACGTTTATAGGGATGGGCGTCATGTTTTGATCGCTGCTACAGGCTCAGATCTATGTCCAGTAAATATGCTAAACAGGTACCTGATTGCTGGAAATGTTGCTGAAACTTCAAATGAATATATTTTTCGTCAACTTTCCTTCTGTAAATCTGTACAAAAGTATGTACTTAAAGGTCAGAAACCTTTATCATATACCAGAGCGAGGGAAATCTTTATTGAGAAATTCAAACTAATCGGTGAAGATGTCAAAAAAGTGGGTCTTCACAGTTTTCGGTCAGGAGGGGCGACTGCTGCAGCTAACGCCGGAGTAACAGACAGACTGTTCAAGAGACACGGACGCTGGGCGTCAGATAAGGCCAAAGACGGTTATATCAAAGACAATGTTTCTGAACTGTTGAGTGTGTCATCAATGTTGGGATTGTAAATAAGTCGAAATAAATCTGCTGCATGGACCCGTTCTTTTAATTCGAGCAGCGGTAGGCATTACCCATGAGTGGAGTATGTTGTCATAGTAAATGTTTTATGTTCGGTTGAACATAGTGAATTAGAACATAAATGTATTTACTATGGGGTAAATACGGTAACGAATGTGATTTGAAGAAGGCTGTGCACGTGAAAGCGGTGGCGTCACGTGCTTAAGGTGCAGAGGAGAGGGCAAGAAACACCACTCGAGGCCTTCGCGTCACACAGGCGAGCTGTTGTCTTCTTTGTTTGTTAAAAATATACACATAAAGGTAATCAGATTTTTAGTGTAATGCTTGTCTGTGTTGGACGGCCTGTTATTGCAGTGTTGCCGAATGGCAGGTAAAACCGTATGGGAAAAATTGCCGCAGGGCATTGAGTGCTGTTTAGCACGGAGAAGGGTGTTGCTTTCTTTCAGTGAGTGATCCCACAGAGAGGTGATTCAGGAGTCCGGACATGGATTTGTATACACAAGAAGACCCACCGTCCAGATAAGTTATCTTTATATTTTTAATTTCGCAGTAATTTATAAAGTGTTCAAGCGCGATATTACAAGGATATTGCAGTATTTCGTAACGGTTTTATGTGCCAAAAATATTAAAATGTACGTTTTTGTTACAGAAAGAATACCTTAGAGAATATGGAGTGTCGGTGTTTGGAATGGAATATAACACGACAGTCGCGTGTCTACATGTATGATTTTGTAAATAAACCCGCTCGCCTGTTAACAGCGGTAGGCATTACCCATGAGTGGAGTATGTTGTCATAGTAAATGTTTTATGTTCGGTTGAACATAGTGAATTAGAACATAAGTGCAATAATCTTGGACGCGACGTTAAACCCCATTTCACCTCACCTCACCTCATTTTGGCAACACTTCATCGGCTGTAATCTCCCTTCACCGATAAAGTGTTGCACGCAGTGTTTGGGCTTGGTCATACGTTAATCTGAACACAGCGTCACGTGCCACACCAGGCCTCGGCGTCTTGTATGTGCAGATAGAATGTATTCTTTACTTTGTTACATGCAAAATTAACAACGATTTAACATGAATAAACAACATGAAAAGGAATGATGTTTCAGTAAAAAAATAAGAATTTGTGATTGATGAAAGGTCATGTAATGATGTTTTTGTGTGATCTCTTTTAAATTAATTGGGACAATGTTAAGTGGAAATATATCATAATCACGTACATGAAGTCATAAAGACAAGATGTTTGTATCAAAGTAATTAGGCAATGCACGTATCTCTAATCTTTTACCCTATACTCGTATCACACATGTCATTAACATGGATGTTGTTTGGGTTTTTTATAACGCCGTATTCAGCAATATTTAAGCTTTTAGACGGCGGTCTAAATATTCAAGTCTGGACCACACAATCCAGTGATTACAGACCGCCACCCTAAAGCTTGAATGTTGCTGAGTGCGGTGTCGACAACAAACAAACAACAAACTACTGAGCCGGTGTCCCGGTTTAAACTCTCCCCAGTACAAATTCTCCCCCCGGAGATTTTATACCGGTACAGATTGTCCCCCGGAGAGTTTATACCGGTACAGATTCTCCCCCGGAGATTTTATACCGGTACAGATTCTCCCCCGGAGATTTTATACCGGTACATATTCTCCCCCGGAGATTTTATACCGGTACAGATTCTCCCCCCGGAGATTTTATACCGGTACAGATTCTCCCCCGGAGATTGTATACCGGTACAGATTCTCCCCCGGAGATTTTATACCGGTACAGATTCTCCCCCGGAGATTTTATACCGGTACAGATTCTCCCCCGGAGATTTTATACCGGTACAGATTCTCCCCCCGGAGAATCTGTTCTGAAATAACATCTCCCCAGGGCGGATATATTTCGCGCCCCCCTCAGTATAAAGTCTCCCCCCTGATTATTCGGTTTGTTGCAATGTCTTTAAGTACTATATTCTTTAAATAGTTATCTTTAATGTAAGGAGGGTTACTTTAAAAAACAGATTATGAAATATGGTCATAATGAATTGATATTTCAGAATATTTTATTTGGTAACTGTACCTTCCATCCTAAAATAGAAGGACCTTCCATTATAAGACATATTCATACCAAACAAAGGATGGGAGACAAGGTCTCTACAGAGTTTGTTGTTTCTAATACAGTTGTTGTTGTCTGTATATATTTTTTTAATATACCAGTTTGAGTCTACACAATCGATGGTTGAAATGTTAGTCTAAGAACAAAACATGAACTAATTCTCAAGAACTCTGATGTATAAAGTTACCTTCATCTTTGATTGACTGATGTATTTTCAATCTTTATTCAGCACTGAAGAGGCCACAGGCCTATAGTACGAAGCATGAAGTTTATGAATAATCAGCATTGATTTTGACTCCACAAACTGTTATAAAAGTATTCGTAAGGTATCAGGGGTCATTTCAACTTGCAAAATGATTGACATAGTCCTTTATAGAGCGAGGATTGGGCTGTTTTCCCACCCGATTGACTGATATTACAACATTCACATGGTTTAGAACGGTACAATGAATGGTAAAGCATGCAAATTACACTAATACGCGATATTTCATAAGAAAACATCATAACTCCGTTAAAACATAAAACCAATATTTATGAGTCTACATATTGATATAAGACTTTATCACTGTATTCAATTCCAACATTTTGGATATAAACTTTCGGACAGTTCAGTTCAAAATTCTTCAACCTTAAATACATAACAGGATTTGTAGCTAGACGACGGGAATCTACAGTCTTGACTTTGTGGGTTTTTTTATGAGAATGTTTCTCACCGACCTTAGCGTGTAGGAGTGTGATGTCCTGGGCAGGAAATGACAGTGTTTTGACTACTCGTCTTTCATTAATTAACGTTATGGGCATCCCTAATTAACCCTTACTAATTCATGTTAAACCAACACAGGATGTTTTCTGGAAGTGGGGGGGGGGGGGGGGGGGGGGGGGGATTTTATTCTGGGGGCGAATATATTTCGTGACACCGGACACAACTGGAGCCACGCAGGTATTGCACAATCACGAGCTGCCGCTGTAACATGCTACAGGAGGCCGGAACAGTGTCGTACAGGACTTAAATATACTTCTTAACGGGCTTGGGCAGTGGTGTACGATAAACAAGATGTCAATTAATCCCAACAAATCGAAGATTGTGCATTTCCGTAGCCAGGCAGTGACAAGAACGGATAGTTTATTCCAGTGTAGCGGCATTAGTTTGGAAATAGTGGAGAGTTACTGTTACCTCGGTTTGTTACTGACAGAACATCTGGACTACACTCGGATGGGGAATGCCGTGGCAAGTGCTGCAAGTCGTGCTCTAGGACTTCTCATATCAAAGAGCAAGATTCTAGGAGGGATGGAGTACAAAACATTTACCAAGCTGTATGACTCCATGGTGTGGGCAACGATAGACTATGGAGCTGCGATATGGGGAGCTCATCACATTCCAGCTATCAGCACCGTACATAACAGGGCCATGAAGTATTTTATGGGAGTGAGGAAGTCAACCCCAAACAGCGCTGTATCAGGGGACATGGGATGGGAGCCACCGGTTGTACGGCTATGGAGAAGTGTAGCAAGGTATTACAAGCGATCGTGCGACGTGAATCCTGACAGACTTGTATTTAAAGTGTTCAAGTGGGCAGACTCAGCGGCGTCATTAGGAACACGTAACTGGAATCTCCGTGTCCGCAAGAAACTACGAAGTTTACAGTTAGACCATTTTATCCCTATTGGAAACACCTTTTATATACACTTTTTAACGAGTACGGTTGGAGAGAATATAAAGCAGAACTTCATACAGGAATGGAGTAAGTCAGTCAGACAGGAGGAAAGTAGGCATGGAACAAGAAAGAACAAGCTCCGACTTTACCGACATTTTAAGACAAGTTTTGAAGTTGAACGGTATTTGCAGTTTCCCCTTCCCAGGTCTCACCGCCGTGCTATAGCTCTATTCCGCTGTGGTGTTGTCCCGCTCAGTGATGAGACAGGTCGCTGCAATAATATACCATTGAATGAACGGGTGTGTTTTAACTGTCATGAATACGTGGAGGATGAAAGCCATGTTTTATTTCATTGTCCTTTATATAAACACATTACTGATAGCCTTTTAACTACATGTGCGAATCTCTGCGATACTTTTCAAGTTTTATCTGATGTTGATAAGTTCTCTTTTATTATGTCCAATGATGATTTGTTGTTTCTAACGGCCCAAACCTGCAAACTTTTACTTGAAAAACGCAAGAATATTTTATATAATGCTTAGATTTACCTTTGTGATATATTTTACCCTTATAAATTCTACTTGTATTTAATTTTATGTGACCTCGTCTCTCATAACTCATATTGAGTGGTTCTGTACTTTTATTTATGTTCTATGTATATATGTATGTAGTATGTTGTACAGAAGTGAGACGTAAATAAACAATTGTCTGTCTGTCTGTCGTACTACGACGCAATTATGTCAGTCGTTAAAAGTCAATTGTCGTTGAACAATATTAATAATTTGATCTTTATTAGTGAAATCGCGCTGTTCTTATAACATTATCCCCTCGCGTTTCCCGTCAAACCCTTGCCATGGATGTTAATTCAGAAACTGTTATCATTAATTAACAGACACGCCCACTGTATCAGGTATGTGGAAACATGGAGATAACGGAGAGCGCGGTTGTGTCAGTCTGATTTCCTGTATTCCCCGAGCGAGAGAGACGGTATAACATGATTTTTTATACGAGTTACGAAAATATTGATGTGGAACTGTATCCTGATATCTATAATTTACATGCATTGATGTGTGCTTGCAGTATGCGTGTCTGGATGGTTCGTGCATGCAGAGGTAAAGATGGGGAGAGGGGGGAGAGCGAGAGAGGGGGGAGAGAGAGAGAGGGGGGAGAGAGAGAGAGGGGGGAGAGAGAGAGAGAGGGGAGAGAGAGAGAGAGAGAGGGGGGGGGGGTGTCACTAAAATAAACATTGTTACTTTTCTCACATTCAACGTTTCCACTTTGAGCGAGGTTTTAGTTTACCTATACACACACGGTTCATACGCGTGGAGTGACTGCATTAGGGGTATATATGCATAAATATGCACAGGCTTCTTTAGCCTTTCTACCAATATACGCCCTTCCCTAACAGCTTAAACAGTGGGAGCTACACAGGTCGGTAAAGTTTTGCGCACTGAGGAGACGAGACAGTTGCGAGGAGATACATTTCCACGTTGTATTGACATTGCATTCACTTCATACATTAAGTGAGGTAAGGTTTAATTCTCTTGGTGAACTTTTCTCAGCGGAAATTGTGCAGGATTTGGGCCCTGTCCTCACTTATAATCCTATAAACACATATAGCTACAATTATTAATCTAGGGCTCCATGTCATACGTCCATGTACTGGTTTATCCAGTCTGACATACATAGAGGCCCAGTCTAATAAAAAGTCTAATCATTAGAGCTCCTTTGTGAAGAGAGATATTAGTATTTCCAGTTTGGGCTATACGCTCTTAGCACTTCATGCGTGTCTCCCCGTGGATATACTGTAGGGGTATAGACCCTGAGTACTCCATGCGTGTCTCCCCGTGGATATACTGTAGCGGAATAGGCCCTTAGAACTCCATGCGTCTCCCCGTGGATATACTGTAGCGGAATAGGCCCTTAGAACTCCATGCGTGTCTCCCCGTGGATATACTGTAGCGGAATAGGCCCTTAGAACTCCATGCGTGTCTCCCCGTGGATATACTGTAGCGGAATAGACCCTTAGTACTACGTGCGTGTCTCCCCGTGGATATACTGTAGCGGAATAGACCCTGAGTACTCCATGCGTGTCTCCCCGTGGATATACTGTAGCGGAATAGACCCTTAGTACAACATGCGTGTCTCCCCGTGGATATACTGTAGCGGAATAGACCCTTAGTACAACATGCGTGTCTCCCCGTGGATATACTGTAGCGGAATAGGCCCTTTGAACTCCATGCGTGTCTCCCCGTGGATATACTGTAGCGGAATAGACCCTTAGTACTCCATGCGTGTCTCCCCGTGGATATACTGTAGCGGAATAGACCCTTAGTACTCCATGCGTGTCTCCCCGTGGATATACTGTAGGGGTATAGACCCTGAGTACTCCATGCGTGTCTCCCCGTGAATATACGGTAGGGCAATACGCCCTTAGTACTCCATGCGCGTCTCTCCGTGGATATACTGTAGCGGACTTTGCTCTTAGTACTTCATGCGTGTCTCCCTGTGGATATACTGCTGGGGAATACACTGTTAGTACTCCATGCGTGTCTCCCGGTGGATATACTGCAGGGAAATACACTGTTAGTACTCCATGCGTGTCTCCCTGTGGATATACTGCAGGGGAATACGCTGTTAGTACTCCATGCGTGTCTCCCGGTGGATATACTGCAGGGGAATACGCTGTTAGTACTCCATGCGTGTCTCCCGGTGGATATACTGCAGGGGAATACGCTGTTAGTACTCCATGCGTGTCTCCCGGCGGATATACTGCAGGGAAATACACTGTTAGTACTCCATGCGTGTCTCCCGGTGGATATACTGCAGGGGAATACGCTGTTAGTACTCCATGCGTGTCTCCCTGTGGATATACTGCACGGAAATACGCTGTTAGCACTCCATGCGTGTCTCCCCGTGGATATACTGTAGGAGAATACGCTGTTAGTACTCCATGCGCGTCTCCCTGTGGATATACTGTAGGGGAATACGTCCTTAGTGCAAAAAGCGTGTCTCCCCGTGGATATACTGAATCGGAATACGCCCTTAGTACTAAATGCGTGTCTCCCCGTGGATATCCTTTAGCGGAATAGACCCTTAGTACTCAATGCGTGTCTCCCCGTGGATACAGTGTAGGCAAATAGACCCTTAGTACTCCATGCGTGTCTCCCCGTGGATATAGTGTAGGGGAATAGACCCTTAGTACTCCATGCGTGTCTCCCCGTGGATATACTGTAGCGGAATAGACCCTTAGTACTCCATGCGTGTCTCCCCGTGAAAATAGTGTAGGGGTATAGACCCTGAGTACTCCATACGTGTCTCCCCGTGGATATACTGTAGCGGAATAGACCCTTAGTACTCCATGCGTGTCTCCCCGTGGATATAGTGTAGGGGTATAGACCCTTAGAACTCCATGCGTGTCTCCCCGTGGATATAGTGTAGGGGTATAGACCCTTAAAACTCCATGCGTGTCTCCCCGTGGATATAATGTAAGGGAATACACCCTTAGTACTTCATGCGTGTCTCCCCGTGGATATACTGTAGGTGAATACGCCCTTAGTACTCAATGCGCGTCTCTCCGTGGATATACTGTAGCGGACTATGCTCTTAGTACTTCATGCGTGTCTCCCTGTGGATATACTGCAGGGAAATACACTGTTAGTACTCCATGCGTGTCTCCCGGTGGATATACTGCAGGAGAACCCGCTGTTAGTAAGTCATGCGTGTCTCCCGGTGGATATACTGCAGGGGAATACACTGTTAGTACTCCATGCGTGTCTCCCTGTGGATATACTGCAGGGGAATACGCTGTTTGTACTCCGTGCGTGTCTCCCTGTGGATATACTGCAGGGGAATACGCTGTTAGTACTCCATGCGTGTCTCCCTGTGAATATACTGCAGGGAAATACGCTGTTAGCACTCCATGCGTGTCTCCCCGTGGATATACTGTAGGAGAATACGCTGTTAGTACTCAATGCGCGTCTCCCCGTGGATATACTGTAGGGGAATACGTCCTTAGTGCAAAAAACGTGTCTCCCCGCGGATATACTGAATCGGAATGCGCCCTTAGTACTAAATGCGTGTCTCCCCGTGGATATCCTGTAGCGGAATAGACCCTTAGTACTCCATGCGTGTCTCCCCGTGGATATACTGTACCGGAATAGACCCTTAGTACTCCATGCATGTCTCCCCGTGGATATACTGTAGCGGAATAGACCCTTAGCACTCCATGCGTGTCTCCCCGTGGATATAGTGTAGGCAAATAGGCCCTCAGTACTCCATGCGTGTCTCCCCGTGGATATAGTGTAGGGGAATAGACCCTTAGTACTCCATGCGTGTCTCCCCGTGGATATACTGTAGCGGAATAGGCCCTTTGAACTCCATGCGTGTCTCCCCGTGGATATAGTGTAGGGGAATAGACCCTTAGTACTCCATGCGTGTCTCCCCGTGGATATACTGTAGCGGAATAGGCCCTTTGAACTCCATGCGTGTCTCCCCGTGGATATAGTGTAGGGGAATAGACCCTTAGTACTCCATGCGTGTCTCCCCGTGGATATACTGTAGCGGAATAGACCCTGAGTACTCCATGCGTGTCTCCCCGTGGATATAGTGTAGCGGAATAGACCCTGAGTACTCCATGCGTGTCTCCCCGTGGATATACTGTAGCGGAATAGACCCTGAGTACACCATGCGTGTCTCCCCGTGGATATACTGTAGCGGAATAGACCCTGAGTACACCATGCGTGTCTCCCCGTGGATATACTGTAGCAGAATAGACCCTGAGTACTCCATGCGTGTCTCCCCGTGGATATACTGTAGCGGAATAGGCCCTTAGTACAACATGCGTGTCTCCCCGTGGATATACTGTAGGGGATTGCGACCTTAGTACTCATCACTGTCAGACATGATACAGTTACGATTACCACCATCCACTCCAGTCCCTCCCCCAAACAACCACCAGCCACCAACCCACCTCTGTCCACCAACCAACCACCAGCCACCAGCCACCAACCCACCCCTGTACACCAACCAACCACCAGCCACCAACCCACCCCAGTCCACCAACCAACCACCAGCCACCAACCCACCCCAGTCCACCAACCAACCACCAGCCACCAACCCACCTCTGTCCACCAACCAACCACCAGCCACCAACCCACCCCAGTCCACCAACCAACCTCCAGCCACCAACCCACCCCAGTCCACCAACCTACCACCAGCCACCAACCCACCCCAGTCCACCAACCAACCACCAGCCACCAACCCACCCCAGTCCACCAACCAACCACCAGCCACCAACCAACCACCAGCCACCAACCTACCCGTCCACCAACCAACCACCAGCCACCAACCCACCCCAGTCCACCAACCAACCACCAGCCACCAACCCACCCCAGTCCACCAACCAACCACCAACCCACCCCAGTTCACCAACCAACCACCAGCCACCAACCCACCCCTGTCCACCAACCAACCACCAGCCACCAACCCATCCCCGTCCACCAACCAACCACCAGACACCAACCAACCACCAGCCACCAACCCATCCCAGTTCACCAACCAACCACCAGCCACCAACCCACCCCAGTCCACTAACCAACCACCAGCCACCAACCAACCACCAGCCACCAACCAACCACCGCCACCAACCCACCCCAGTCCACCAACCAACCACCAGCCACCAACCCACCCCAGTCCACTAACCAACCACCAGCCACCAACCCATCCCCGTCCACCAACCAACCACCAGCCACCAACCCATCCCAGTTCACCAACCAACCACCAGCCACCAACCCACCCCAGTCCACTAACCAACCACCAGCCACCAACCCATCCCCGTCCACCAACCAACCACCAGCCACCAACCCATCCCAGTTCACCAACCAACCACCAGCCACCAACCCATCCCTGTCCACCAACCAACCACCAGCCACCAACCCACCCCTGTCCACCAACCAACCACCAGCCCATCCCTGTCCACCAACCAACCACCAGCCACCAACCCACCCCAGTCCAACAAACAACCACAAACGCCCACCCACCCCTCTCCCAACCACCGCCGCACACACGCACACACACACATCCTATTTCCAGCGCTCTTTCCTTTTTAAACCTTCACGGATTGATTAATATCGATTCATTGAGCAGCTCAGTTTCCCAACAAAAGTGTCCTGACGAGAAAAGTGATCAACCGAGGCTATAAGCCAGCATTGTACCGCAGCTATCTGTCGATAACGTAGAAATTAAATGCAAACGACAGACAAAGGCACATGCTTAAAAACTATAGGTAACATTTACACCTAATTAGTCCCTAATCAGTCCCTAATCGGCCCGTACTTGTGATTCGAAGTCGCGTCACGCTAATGATCTCGCAACCAGGTTAAGCTGTTTGCCTGACAACACAAACACCCAACCGATCTGCATATGTAACACATAATCAATAACTTAATGGCGTAGTCATGGAATCATTTGTTTATTTCACCTGGAACTCAAACTGTCTTTCTGTTGAGGCAACGACCCGTCTACTGGCACTGTCACGTGACCCCGCTTGACAGTCAAGGGTGTGTGCAGCCATGTGAGGACAGACACTACTGCTCTGTAGGAGTTGAAGCTGAACGCGACAGGTTTCCGTGGCAATACCTGGATACTGATGATCATACTGAAGGTAGGTAGCGGGCTGCTCGCCTCTCGTTGGACTGACAGTCTGTGTCGTTGAAATGACATATTTGGTCGTTGCAAGCGATGAGTTTGTTCCAGATAACGGCGAATATGTGTCATGTTATATTTAGGAGTTTTCCAATAACATTCACTTCTGCGTGTATTTGGGTTTGTTAGACGGGATGTTGGTAAGGCGTCGACACACCCAGTGAGAACAGCCTAGTCACATGGTATAGGAGCTATCCGGATCTGTGTGGGCGGCCAAGGTGTGTAGTGTGGCCATGGTAACACATCACATACTAAACATATGCTCTCCTGACACACGTATAGTCAGTTTACATTGGATAAATAATGTCTTCTCAACATGTCCCAGTGCGGGACTGTACATGTATAGGCCTCAGTGACCCTTACGCTGAATGTATCACAGGCTTCTGTGGACGTATGAGTGGTCTCAATGCGAGTCAGGCGACGAACATTTGAACAGGGTATCTTGCGTCAATACTATCGTCGGTAATATATTGAATGTCTATTGTGTGCGTGCAGTCAGTGGAGCGTGTGCTTATTGCGGGTAGGGTGAAGGCGTGTGTGGGGTGGGGGGTGGGGGTGGGGGGGGGGGGGGGGGGGGGTGTGTTACTATGCGTTACTACGGTGATCTGAGCTCTTCCAACTGGAACGCCTTTTTTCTGTATATTGCATGAACATCCGCCTATAATACACGTCTCTATATTACTATCTCTTTGTGTCGTTGCCAGTAAAGCGGGTGGTGTTTAAAGTACTTCCTCGCTCCGTGTATGGAGATGACACGTCAATGTACCACCACAAGCTACCTGGTAAGACTGTTTCAGACACTTGGCAACTACCTACGGGGGTTATATCCAATCATTGACCACACACTAGGACGAAAGAGCTTTGACACCTTGAATGTAGGCTTGAAGTGGCAACTAAGTGCTATAATAAACCAGTGTAAGGGCTGTGTGATTAACTACTGATCATAACTTTATAGGTTTAAAAGGGGCTGATTAATGACGGGCACACACACACAGGTTTCCATGTTCGTAATGACCTGACTGAATTGGTAGCTAGGAATTACCGACAAAGGAAGGTATTTATCGACCCAGAGACGCCATACGCCCTTTCAAGACTACAACAAGTACTAATAGGCACGTCAAGGTAGTTTTCAGAGCAATTGGCAGTATGTTTTTATCACCATGGTGTTTACTAAGTCGATTCAGAAGGTGCTGTAGGAAACTGTATCTGAAGGTATACGATATCGCAATAACTAATGCCGAGTATTGAGTCACATGTCATAATCCATATTGGTCGTGCTTGTCCGCAAATTGCCGGACAGTGTGTGTGTATTTCGTACGTTCCTAAAAAGAACACATTACTTTGCTAACGAAGAAAAGTGCTTAGTGGCCTTTATCAGTTTCGATTATTTAGGTGTTGCCACTGAGGCATTGTCACTGTCGACAATAAAACTGTCAGATGTGTAAACCATTGTTTGAAATACCTGTTACCTGAGACTAGAACTGCCTGTCACCCCCATCAATATATACATGTCTGATTGGCAGTATGGTACGTTACTGTTGGATCATTTGAAATGAATGGATCTGGTGTTTTGTTATAGAGAGGCAGTCCAGGTGTTACACACAATAAACATCCTGTGTAACGAGATACTCGGGAGTGTTAACATGTGTAGTTGCTATGACAACCTGTTAGAGCTATCAATATTAATATTTCAGCAAATGTACATGTCGTTTATGTTTATCGACGCAACAGGTATAATAAATAGAACTATTCACGTTTATTTTTTCGCTCCGCTGTAGTGCATGTATTGTACAGGACGTTGTTCGCTCGACACAGTAGTGTCTAGCAGTGTGAATATTTAAACCTTGTTCCCTGTAAGCCTTGTTTCACATTTCAGGGACCGGACGGAAAGGATTAATTCACTGTGACGTAGGACTGAGGTGAATATGACGACTGTTCGTATCAAGAAGAAGTTCCGTGTGTTGTTACTGCTCGGCGGTTTTATGTTAATCTTGCTGCTGCTGCTGAGTTGGAGTGGTTGCCCATCCGGAGGGTGTGTCCGCCACACAGGCCCCTTCCTACATCAACTGCCCCACCGTGAGTGGAGAAACACAACCCACAAGACCATACTGCGGTGGACAGGCTTCTTTGGCGACAGTACGTGGGAGCAGTCAGATGACAGATATTTTCAAAGGTGCAAAGTTAAGACGTGTAGATTCACCCAGGACAAGACCAAAGTCAGTGACGCGGACGCTCTTTTGTTTCACGCTGGATCGACGTTTAACTTCTGGCGGGGGATTACGTGGCCAAGTGTTCGCCACCCGCACCAAGTGTGGATCATGTACAATGTGGAGCCACCCCCAAGAACTCCTTTAAGCTTTGAAAATTTAGCAGGTGTATTCAACTGGACTGCGTGGTATAGGCTTGATTCGGATGTGCCTGTGACATATGGTGGCATTGTAAAGTATGACACAGATATGTTAAATAAGTATTCAAAGTCATCAAGAAACTTTTCTGCAGAAAGGCCAAGGCTGGCCGGCTGGATGTCCAGCAACTGTTATGACTTCAGTCGACGGCTTGTTCTCATCAATAAAATCAAGCAACATCTTCCATTGGAAACATACGGCAAGTGCGGGGTCCGGCGCTGCCCTGAAACCATCTGCAGGGATACCATATCTGTTTATAAGTTTTTCTTTGCTATAGAGAACTGTCTGTGTAAGGATTATGTGTCGGAAAAGTTCTGGGAGGCTCTGCGGCGTCAGCAGGTTCCTGTTGTCCTGGGGGGCGCTGACTATCACAAGCTCGCCCCTCCCCACTCATTCATTAACATCGCGGACTTCGCCGATATGAAGAGTCTCGGAGATTACCTGCTGAGGCTGGAGAAGGATGAACAAGCTTACAACAAGTACCTGGAGTGGACGAAGTCGTACGACGTATATGGGGAGTTGGAGGCACGGCGGTTGTTCTGGTGCGACCTATGTGAGGCCCTCCACGACAAGACCCGGCCAGCACAGGTGTACGACAACCTAGAGGGCTGGGTGAACGATGAACCCGAATCATGCCCTCAGTGGACGGTAAGAAATACATTTACTTTATCCATTAATAATTTATTTCATATTTAATTAATGGAGATCGTGAAAATACAATCGTCTTGAAGTACTTAATCGACATAACGTTTTATATGTACATTCAGTCATCTGCACCACAGACATACCGTTGTGTCTAGAAGGCAGACCCGCCTTAAGCCTCAGTCACACAGACAATGCGACCGCGATGCAACCTCCTGGCGACAAAAATATTTGACAATCGCAATGATGTTTCAGGGGTCTCTGAAAGGTTTCACCGAGGTCGATACAAGGTTTCAGAGCAGTCGCAAAACCCATTCGGTTGCAACCAGTCTTTTGAGCATGCACAAAAGACTGGCTGCGACCGATTTGGTCGCACGGAGGTTTCATTGGTCTGTTACAGGTCCCTAAGTTGTGTGGTGGTTTCTACTGTGCGGCGATTGGTTTCGTCTTCACAAGAGTGTTGACTCTTTGCAACCTAGTGGCGACCTATCGGTGATTGATCAGTGATGAGGCGGTGATCGGTGATATGGGCAGAAGTAGTTGCACCGGTCTCAACTATCACCAGTTGGTCGCAAGAAGTTGCATCGCGGTCGCATTGCCTGTTTGACTGAGGCTTTAGGAAGGCATAGACATTTAAAACAAGCCTTCATATAATGCCTAGCTGCAGTAATCGTATCTTTGTGCTGCTCCCTATAAACGATATTGATATTGATTTGTCGCTAAACAGAGCCTCGGACTGTCCCAAGGTGTGTACCTAATTGATTCCCGATCCAAATCTGCATAGCACTTTAAATGCTTCCGCAAAGTCCTTGCGTCATCATCTAACGACACTCCACGATGGCTCACTTGCCATAAAATAGGAGTACTTATATTTCAGATGGTGCAACAATATATTTACTTATCGAGTTCGCAACTGGGCCAGTAGAAATCTTTTATCCGCCTTTGCGATCGATAAGTACATAGAAAGTTGCACGACAGAAAAAAATGGGTACACATATTTGAAGGAAAGAGTTTATTTGTGTTGCCCTGTTTGTGGGATTAGGATCCATGTTCATTGTGGTCGGTAGGGTTGTTAGTGCGTTCAGGTTGTTAGTGCGGTAGGATTGTTAGTGCGTTCAGGTTGTTAGTGCGGTAGGGTTGTTAGTGCGGTAGGATTGTTAGTGCGGTAGGGTTGTTAGTGCGGTAGGGTTGTTAGTGCGGTAGGGTTGTTAGTGCGGTCAGGTTGTTAGTGCGGTAGGATTGTTAGTGCGGTAGGGTTGTTATTGCGGTAGGGTTGTTAGTGCGGTAGGATTGCTAGTGCGGTAGGGTTGTTAGTGCGATAGGGTTGTTAGTGCGGTAGGGTTGTTAGTGCAGTCAGGTTGTTAGTGCGGTACGTTCTGAAATGGGAACCTACAAGGAAAACACCAGGGGGTAGTCCTAGCGCTTTACAGGGAACAGCACAGATATATAGTTATCGCAGATACATAATACCGACAGAACACTTTACAGGGAACAGCACAGATATATAGTTATCGCAGATACATAATACCGACAGAACACTTTACAGAGAAAACAGCACAGATATATAGTTATCGCAGATACATAATACCGACAGAACACTCTACAGGGAACAGCACAGATATATAGTTATCGCAGATACATAATACCGACAGAACACTCTACAGGGAACAGCACAGATATATAGTTATCGCAGATACATAATACCGACAGAACACTCTACAGGGAACAGCACAGATATATAGTTATCGCAGATACATAATACCGACAGAACACTCTACAGGGAACAGCACAGATATACAGTTATCGCAGATACATGATACCAACAGAACACTCTACAGGGAACAGCACAGATATATAGTTATCGCAGATACATAATACCGACAGAACACTTTACAGAGAAAACAGCACAGATATATAGTTATCGCAGATACATAATACCGACAGAACTCTCTACAGAGAACAACACAGATATACAGTTATCGCAGATACATAATACCGACAGAACACTCTACAGGGAACAGCACAGATATATAGTTATCGCAGATACATAATACCGACAGAACACTCTACAGAGAACAGCACAGATATACAGTTATCGCAGATACATAATACCGACAGAACACTTTACAGAGAAAACAGCACAGATATACAGTTATCGCAGATACATAATACCGACAGAACACTTTACAGAGAAAACAGCACAGATATATAGTTATTGCAGATACATAATACCGACAGAACTCTCTACAGAGAAAACAGCACAGATATATAGTTATCGCAGATACATAATACCGACAGAACACTTTACAGAGAAAACAGCACAGATATATAGTTATCGCAGATACATAATACCGACAGAACACTCTACAGGGAACAGCACAGATATATAGTTATCGCAGATACATAATACCGACAGAACACTTTACAGAGAAAACAGCACAGATATATAGTTATCGCAGATACATAATACCGACAGAACACTTTACAGGGAACAGCACAGATATATAGTTATCGCAGATACATAATACCGACAGAACACTTTACAGAGAAAACAGCACAGATATATAGTTATCGCAGATACATAATACCGACAGAACTCTCTACAGGGAACAGCACAGATATATAGTTATCGCAGATACATAATACCGACAGAACACTCTACAGGGAACAGCACAGATATATAGTTATCGCAGATACATAATACCGACAGAACACTTTACAGAGAAAACAGCACAGATATATAGTTATCGCAGATACATAATACCGACAAATTACTCTACAGGGAACAGCACAGATATATAGTTATCGCAGATACATAATACCGACAGAACACTTTACAGAGAAAACAGCACAGATATATAGTTATCGCAGATACATAATACCGACAGAACTCTCTACAGGGAACAGCACAGATATATAGTTATCGCAGATACATAATACCGACAGAACTCTCTACAGGGAACAGCACAGATATATAGTTATCGCAGATACATAATACCGACAGAACACTCTACAGGGAACAGCACAGATATATAGTTATCGCAGATACATAATACCGACAGAACACTTTACAGAGAAAACAGCACAGATATATAGTTATCGCAGATACATAATACCGACAAATTACTCTACAGGGAACAGCACAGATATATAGTTATCGCAGATACATAATACCGACAGAACACTTTACAGAGAAAACAGCACAGATATATAGTTATCGCAGATACATAATACCGACAGAACTCTCTACAGGGAACAGCACAGATATATAGTTATCGCAGATACATAATACCGACAGAACACTCTACAGGGAACAGCACAGATATATAGTTATCGCAGATACATAATACCGACAGAACTCTCTACAGGGAACAGCACAGATATATAGTTATCGCAGATACATAATACCGACAGAACACTTTACAGAGAAAACAGCACAGATATATAGTTATCGCAGATACATAATACCGACAAATTACTCTACAGGGAACAGCACAGATATATAGTTATCGCAGATACATAATACCGACAGAACACTCTACAGGGAACAGCACAGATATATAGTTATCGCAGATACATGATACCAACAGAACACTTTACAGGGAACAGCACAGATATATAGTTATCGCAGATACATAATACCGACAGAACACTTTACAGAGAAAACAGCACAGATATATAGTTATCGCAGATACATAATACTGACAGAACTCTCTACAGGGAACAGCACAGATATATAGTTATCGCAGATACATAATACCGACAGAACACTTTACAGAGAAAACAGCACAGATATATAGTTATCGCAGATACATAATACTGACAGAACTCTCTACAGGGAACAGCACAGATATATAGTTATCGCAGATACATAATACCGACAGAACACTCTACAGGGAACAGCACAGATATATAGTTATCGCAGATACATAATACCGACAAATTACTCTACAGGGAACAGCACAGGTATATAGTTATCGCAGATACATAATACCGACAGAACACTCTACAGGGAACAGCACAGATATATAGTTATCGCAGATACATAATACCGACAGAACTCTCTACAGGGAACAGCACAGATATATAGTTATCGCAGATACATAATACCGACAGAACACTCTACAGGGAACAGCACAGATATATAGTTATCGCAGATACATAATACCGACAGAACTCTCTACAGGGAACAGCACAAGTATATAGTTATCGCAGATACATAATACCGACAGAACACTCTACAGGGAACAGCACAGATATATAGTTATCGCAGATACATAATACCGACAGAACTCTCTACAGGGAACAGCACAGATATATAGTTATCGCAGATACATAATACCGACAGAACACTTTACAGAGAAAACAGCACAGATATATAGTTATCGCAGATACATAATACCGACAGAACACTTTACAGGGAACAGCACAGATATACAGTTATCGCAGATACATAATACCGACAGAACACTTTACAGAGAAAACAGCACAGATATACAGTTATCGCAGATACATAATACCGACAGAACACTTTACAGAGAAAACAGCACAGATATATAGTTATCGCAGATACATAATACCGACAAATTACTCTACAGGGAACAGCACAGATATATAGTTATCGCAGATACATAATACCGACAGAACACTTTACAGAGAAAACAGCACAGATATATAGTTATCGCAGATACATAATACCGACAGAACTCTCTACAGGGAACAGCACAGATATATAGTTATCGCAGATACATAATACCGACAGAACACTCTACAGGGAACAGCACAGATATATAGTTATCGCAGATACATAATACCGACAGAACTCTCTACAGGGAACAGCACAGATATATAGTTATCGCAGATACATAATACCGACAGAACACTTTACAGAGAAAACAGCACAGATATATAGTTATCGCAGATACATAATACCGACAAATTACTCTACAGGGAACAGCACAGATATATAGTTATCGCAGATACATAATACCGACAGAACACTCTACAGGGAACAGCACAGATATATAGTTATCGCAGATACATGATACCAACAGAACACTTTACAGGGAACAGCACAGATATATAGTTATCGCAGATACATAATACCGACAGAACACTTTACAGAGAAAACAGCACAGATATATAGTTATCGCAGATACATAATACCGACAGAACTCTCTACAGGGAACAGCACAGATATATAGTTATCGCAGATACATAATACCGACAGAACACTTTACAGAGAAAACAGCACAGATATATAGTTATCGCAGATACATAATACTGACAGAACTCTCTACAGGGAACAGCACAGATATATAGTTATCGCAGATACATAATACCGACAGAACACTCTACAGGGAACAGCACAGATATATAGTTATCGCAGATACATAATACCGACAAATTACTCTACAGGGAACAGCACAGATATATAGTTATCGCAGATACATAATACCGACAGAACACTCTACAGGGAACAGCACAGATATATAGTTATCGCAGATACATAATACCGACAGAACTCTCTACAGGGAACAGCACAGATATATAGTTATCGCAGATACATAATACCGACAGAACACTCTACAGGGAACAGCACAGATATATAGTTATCGCAGATACATAATACCGACAGAACTCTCTACAGGGAACAGCACAAGTATATAGTTATCGCAGATACATAATACCGACAGAACACTCTACAGGGAACAGCACAGATATATAGTTATCGCAGATACATAATACCGACAGAACTCTCTACAGGGAACAGCACAGATATATAGTTATCGCAGATACATAATACCGACAGAACACTTTACAGAGAAAACAGCACAGATATATAGTTATCGCAGATACATAATACCGACAAATTACTCTACAGGGAACAGCACAGATATATAGTTATCGCAGATACATAATACCGACAGAACACTCTACAGGGAACAGCACAGATATACAGTTATCGCAGATACATAATACCGACAGAACTCTCTACAGAGAACAACACAGATATACAGTTATCGCAGATACATAATACCGACAGAACACTTTACAGGGAACAGCACAGATATACAGTTATCGCAGATACATAATACCGACAGAACACTTTACAGGGAACAGCACAGATATATAGTTATCGCAGATACATAATACCGACAGAACACTCTACAGGGAACAGCACAGATATATAGTTATCGCAGATACATAATACCGACAGAACTCTCTACAGGGAACAGCACAGATATACAGTTATCGCAGATACATGATACCAACAGAACACTCCGTGCGCATGCGTCCATAAAGCACATGACTAGTGCACAGGCAATACCAAAAGGATATATAAGGATTGGGAAAAAAGATAAGGATTGGAATATATAATTCCATGTGTCCCTTTGTGAATAAGACGTTGATTTATTTTTAAAATGGTCATCTTTGAACTGAACTGAATCGAGGAATACAATGTGCACAATACTTATGTGCCTGCCTTTTCTTACGCTGATATCTTGCACACCATTTGGTATGCACAGACAGGAGTGTCAGCTTTATTTATCCGTTGAACTGTTATTGTCAACGGAACTATCCTGCCACTATACAGATTAGACAGCGTACTGAAGGTTACACACAACCTGCACGTACCATTCTAACCCTCCCCCCACCCCCCAACCCCCACCCCGTCGCCTACATTCATGGGTCAGTTGTGTCCACAGCACGACCAGTGATCCACGGCACTGTGGTGTTCGCACACTCTATGTCTGACAACTGTCACCGAAGCGGACTGTCAAGACGAAGCGATCATGGTGTGGAAAAATCGACCTAGCAGGCAGCGCAATATTTGACATAATATAGACATAACGATGTGCTTCTCTGTGACTGTTTCAGCTCGGCAACCAACTGGGACGGTGGCTGGACGGTGTGAAGATCAAATGGAACCTGATGTGATGCATCAACCAACGGCTGGGACCCTAATCAAAATCGATAACTGCATTCACATACCACCCTGACATATGGACAATAGAATTGGAAAAATTGAATTCAAGGGTTATGTGATTTGAAGATGCCGTTCGTATACATATGGAGGTAATCCACGCCGTGTTACCAGCCGAATCACCATCATGCGTTACTAACTGAATATATATCCTAGTAATGCAATATGAAAGCTAGATATGAAAGACTTCCATGAGTGATGTGCTATCAGATGTCAACTCCACAACAAATGGTAACATAACAGGTAAATAATTCTAAATGTGATGAGGAAACCCACGAGAGACGATAAGCCTTACTGATGTCAGCTGAATATGCCATATCTTGTGGATACCGACCAGAGACGATAAGCCTTACTGATGTCAGCTGAATATGCCATATCTTGTGGATACCGACCAGAGACGATAAGCCTTACTGATGTCAGCTGAATATACCATATCTTGTGGATACCGACCAGAGACGATATAAGTTACTGCTGTCAGCTGAATATGCCATATCTTGTGGATACCGACCAGAGACGATATATGTTACTGCTGTCAGCTGAATATACCATATCTTGTGGATACCGACCAGAGACGATAAGCCTTACTGATGTCAGCTGAATATGCCATATCTTGTGGATACCGACCAGAGACGATATATGTTACTGCTGTCAGCTGAATATACCATATCTTGTGGATACCGACCAAAGACGATATATGTTACTGCTGTCAGCTGAATATACCATATCTTGTGGATACCGACCAGAGACGATATATGTTACTGCTGTCAGCTGAATATACCATATCTTGTGGATACCGACCAGAGACGATAAGCCTTACTGCTGTCAGCTGAATATACCATATCTTGTGGATACCGACCAGAGACGATATATGTTACTGCTGTCAGCTGAATATACCATATCTTGTGGATACCGGCCAGAGACGATAAGCCTTACTGATGTCAGCTGAATATGCCATATCTTGTGGATACTGACCAGAGACGATATATGTTACTGCTGTCAGCTGAATATACCATATCTTGTGGATACCGGCCAGAGACGATATATGTTACTGCTGTCAGCTGAATATACCATATCTTGTGGATACCGACCAGAGACGATATATGTTACTGCTGTCAGCTGAATATACCATATCTTGTGGATACCGGCCAGAGACGATAAGCCTTACTGATATCAGCTGAATATACCATATCTTGTGGATACCGACCAGAGACGATATATGTTACTGCTGTCAGCTGAATATACCATATCTTGTGGATACCGACCAGAGACGATATATGTTACTGCTGTCAGCTGAATATACCGTGCCTTGTGCTCACCAGCTACATGGTGGCGTGTGGTCAATGTGACACTGAGATACAGTTTGAATGAGCTGTGCAGATAGCGAAATGAAATGTGTTGACATCCTTGACACCTCTGCTTTTGACTTGAACCATGAATGTGATATGGTGTAACAATTTCTGTAGAAGCTATTAATTGTACTTTCCTGTTGACAGAAAGGCATTACAAATAGCAATGCTCACACTGCCTGTCTATACTGCAAAACAACACAGTAACACAGTGCCTTGTAAGCTGTATCTTTATATCAAATTTTCCCATATCCATATACGTATATGTGAATGATTTTTACAGATTAAAATATGAAATGTAAGTCTTACCTGGAGTTTTCTGTATAGGTTGATACAAGACATGCAAGGTCTATATCGTCAAAACTGACACTTGCTCCTGGTGCACAACTCTGTAAATGGTGTACGACCTTCGTGCTACACAACGTTTAGAGAATATGATGTGCGAAAAGTGTCAGACGTTTAGTTTTGGTTTAAATATATATATATATATATATATATATATATATATATATATATATATATATATATATTTAACCTTGCTTATGTAAATACCTCTCTGCGTAATAACTTAACAACAGCTGGTTATATACACGATAGTGCTGAACATAAACATACTAAATGCACAGATGAAATACATTACTACATGCATAAAATATAGCTACTCAAATCTTTTCCTTTTGACAAGGAAATCGTGAACTGATTGAAGAAAAGTCATGTTTGTAGAACTGCTGACTGAACTACTGCCATGTAATATCGTTTTTAAATCTTACCCATGTGTGAAGAAATACATAATGTTTCTGATATTATCGTATACTGAGTCAAATTAAAAACTTCACATTTTTAAAAGTAATCCCATAAATGATATACAACGGACAAATGTATCAGAGAAGGTAATTTTTAATCATTTATGTCCAAAGAAGGATTTTAATTAACGGTGGTAACCATAATTTGTTCCAAGCACCTATTACGGTATTCGGTAATAGCACCAACAGTTTAAATCATAAGTCCCAAACACGAGAATCTGATGGCACACAAGTTCAGTAGCGTCTATGGCCACCATGTGTGTTGACAACTGCCACACAACGCCTCCGCATGGACCTTGTGATGCTTGTGAACACATGATTGGGAAGACGACGCCATTGTTGCTGCAAAATGGTGCCAAGATCTTGCAAATTCTGTGGTTGGTTCTGGAGAGTGCGCAGACTTCTGCCAAGAGCATCCCAGACGTGTTCGATGGGATTGAGGTCGAGAGACCTTGACGGCCAGTCCATGACGTTGACTCCCGCATTCTGAAGGAAATTCCTTGTCAAAATTGCTGTGTGGGGTCTGGCATTGTCGTGTTGGAAGATCAAACCGGGTCCATGTGCTGCCATAAAAGTAAGAAGTTCTGGTGCCAGTACCTGGTCGCGGTAAGCAGCAGCGTTGAGGTTGCCACGGATGACAAGAAGCCTGGAACGTGCATTGCCACAAAGAGCACCCCACACCATGACACTTCCGCCTCGAAATCTGTCATCTTCCTGTACACAACACTGGGCGTAACGTTCATGACGGCGCCTCCACTCCCTCGCCCTACCATCAGCAAATCGAAGATTAAATGGGGATTCATCACTGAAGACGACTTGATTCCAATTCCTCTGAGTCCATCGGAAGTGTCGCTGTGCCCACAATTTACGTTGACGTCTGTGTAATTGAGTCAGAATCGGCCCGCAGTATGGCCGTCGTGCTTGAAAGTGAGCAGTTCTCAGACGGTTTCGAACAGTTTGCGCACTCAGTCTACCACTAAACAGTTCATTTCTGGTTGATGTAGCCGTCAAAAGTCGGTTACGGAGGTGACGTAAGACAATCTGACGATCCTCTGCATTTGACGTCACACGTGGTCGACCTGGCCGAGGGCTATCAGCGGTGGTACCCGTTTGCTGTAGACACGTCTGTAAATCATAAACAGTCCGTCGACTACAACCCATCGTCCTTGCGACTTCAGCTACGGACGTTCCCGTCTGCAACATGCCGATGGCACGTTCACATTGCACATTTGAAAGGCGTGGCATGACAAATGGCCGTAAAGACTTTTGTTTTCTTGTGTTTTTCTTTTTTTGTTAATGACTGCTAACAAGTATGGCTGAAAACACGTGCGGTATTATGGCCACGTGACCAGTTGCACGTGAAAAAACACTTTTGCCACTATAGTGCTGTGCACATGATTTTGATCGATTCACCTGCACAAAAAGGGTGTTATCCGAAGACAATACGTGGCCATTACTGTTTAAATATACAATAAGGGCCCACAATGATAACTGGTCAAAATGTTAAAATTTTAGGATTGTGAAGTTTTTAATTTGGTTCAGTATATTTTCGACAGGTATAGTACAAGTGAATTGCATCTTCAAAGTGATATATACAATAGCAGTCTGGTATGTCTGATACATGTCGTCTAAACTTATCAGCGTTTAAGTCACTGCAGCCGAGCCTTAGGCGACAGTGGACAATTTGGCATGATCTATGACCGAATTTTAAGTCAAAATTATTAATAATTGTATCAGGACGATAATTTAAAGATTTGAATTATTTTAATGAGCGAGCATTAGTTACTTCATTAGCTAGAGTGTTCCACAGGTTAATTGTATCCGAAAGAAATGATTTAGCATAGGTCTGGGTTCTACATTTGATTGTTTGTATGTTATATCTATTTTTAAGGTTATACTTGCTATTATCAGACACTTGACTTTGAATGAGATCGTTGAGATATAAAGGTGAAATACCGTTTTTCATTTTGTAAAATGTAATCATTTTGAAACGGTGTCGTCGTTCTTTTAAAGATTGAAAATTTGTTTCGTTATAAATGTGAACATGACTGGTACCACGAACCGCCCCACAAATAGTTCTCAATGCGTCCAAATGTAAATTCTCGAGTAACAATGATTGTTGGTTTGTACATTTGTCCCAAATATGACAACAGTAGTCGAGGTTAGGTTGGATGAGAGATGGGTACATAATTTCAAGCGTATTTCTTGTTAGTCTGTAAAAGCAGTGGTCCAAGGACTGACCCTTGGGGACCCCAGCTTGTACAAATTTTGATTCTGAGGTATAACCATTAATAACTACCTTTTCGATTCTATTTCTAAGTAACTTTCAAACCATTTCAAAAGATAAACTTGGATGCCGTAAGCATTGAGTTTATGAATAATTCCTTTATGCCATACTCAATCAAAGGCTTTGCTGACATCGCAAAAACAGCTGATTTCTTTACCTTCGTCTAATGCCCTAGCAATAAAATTATATAGGTAAGTGAGTTGATAAGATGTGGAGTCACCTGGCAGGAATCCCGACTGTATTAGTCAACAATTCGTTTTCCCTGAAGAAGTTAAACACATACTTGAATATACACTTTTCAAAACTTTCAGCTGAGCAATTTGTGAGTGCTACATGTCTATAGTTTGAGCATTCATGTACATCGCCTTTTTGTGAATTGGCGTCACTGATGCTTGTTTCCAAACTAACGGGAAGGTTTTGTTTTTAAGCGACAAGTTGAATTTTTTTGTCAGGATCGGAGATAGACGAGTCGCTGTTAATTTAAGTAACGTGTTACCTATACCATCTGGCCACGTTGCCTTCGTCGTATCTACAGAAAGAAGAATATCTGGAACTTCTGGATTTAAAATCACAGATAATAATGGATCGTCGATTGTATATGGCCGAATAAATGGAAGGTCAGAATCGGGGTATCTTACTCTTGCTTGATCAGTGAAAAATTCATTTAGGACATTGGTAATATCTTCCATATAATAATATAAAACATTATGTGATACTATTGACGGAAACGACGTATTTTCGGTGTGCGTTTTGACATATTTTTAAACTAATCGCAACCAGATCCTAGTACCATCTGAAGTATTTATGATGTTATCTTTTTTTTAATTCTTGAGTTCTTTTGGCTATACTGACTGATGATATTAAATTTTACCCAATCTGATGGTCGATTTCTATTTTTAGCAGTTTTGTGAATACGATAACGTTTCATAATAAGAGAGCGTATCTCTTTATTTATCCATAGTAGATCCTTTGTCACAATAAGAACAGTCTTAGTTGGAATGTATTTATCAAATATGTCTTTTGTGATAATGTTAATATTATCAGATGAGAATAGGCTATCCGAGTCAATATCATTAATACCTTGATTTATACCATCTGCATCTGCCAAGGGATAGTTATATATTTTTCACTTAAATGTGTAAAATTGGGGTATAGTTTCTTTTATATTAACAAAGATAGGGCAGTGATCGCTACAGTTTGGATCAAGTACACCAGAAGACCTCACACTGTTTACACAGGATACGAATATTAAATCAATCAACGTTTTAGAATTAGGAGTTATTCGTGTAGGATCTGTAATTGTTTGTCTTAAACCTTACATAGTTTGTAAATGTTCAATCTTTTTGGTGGTTTCGCATACAATGTCTAGATTAAAGTCGCCAGTAACAAATGTAAACATATTAATATCAACAGCATTGCCTCTTGACTCATCAATTAAATTCCAATAATGGACACATTTATCAGCACGTTAAAATGTACCAATTAAGTAATTTCGAGTTTTACATTTAACCTGTATCCATATCACCTGAAGTTCGGCAAGTTCTAAATTTCCAATTATTTTAGCGTATAGATTATTTTAACATAAGCGGCAACCCAACCACCAGGTTGTATTTTGTCTTTTCTAAATGGGGTTTGAAAACCGGGGATCTGTATATCATTGTTTCGAATATCTTCACTTAACCATGTTTCAGTCAAACGTATTACATCGTATGACCCGAATTCTACGTTTAAAATATTTATTTTATCCTTGAGACTACGAACATTTAGGCCCAGGATGAGGGTGAACATCTCCACAGCAGAGGAGTAGAAAAATAAAGAAAATTGGTCGTCGCAGATTATACAAACATCGAAATTTAGAAATGCGTATAAGAAGCAGAAACTTAAATGAGTATTTAACATGAAGTTTCACTGCAAATGTACCCACTGCTTGTCAATATTGTGATATGTCAACCGACATCGAACGTTAGTTGATAAACAAATACACAGTGGGTCTCAAAAGAAATTAACAATCATACAGACACACGTAAGCTGCAGATATGGCTCGGTACAAGATCCATGAATAAGCACTATTTTGGTTTTCTTTTCTTGGACAACAAACACGTGCGAAAAATTCATTAAAGATGGAGATGAAAAAGTGAATGAATATCACAAACATAGTTTTCTCGGTTCGAGAAACAAAAATATCCGATAAAAACAACAAGGGGTAATGCAT